GAGGGGGGCTTACAAACTTAGAAAGTTTTGTAACTTAGAATTCTAATAAGTCGGCGCAATATTTACAACAACAACAACAACAACAACAACAACAACAACAACAACAAAAAAAACAACAACAAATCCCACGCTTCGAGCCTTGTTTTCTCAGCTGACTGAAACAATTGTTGTAGCTTTATAATGTCGTTGTTGTTGTTTTTCGCCCTCATTGACACAATTGATATCATTTACGAGGCCGGCTACTGTAATGTCTGTCAGGACCAACCCGGGCTGAGAGGGATGTAACGTCCCAGCAGAAAGATCGAGATACTCGATAAAAATTCTCCCTCCAAAGGAATCGCACTCATGCCTTGTATGTGCGACAGCCAAGCACCCGACCGTTACACTTCAAACGCCCATCTGTTTGTTTGTTTGTTGTTGTTGGTTTTTTTGTTGATTTTTTTTTGGTCTTTCCTTGCATCTTTAAAAATGAGCAATCGGTAAAAACTGAGTGGGTTTTATAATCATTCCCAAATCAGACTAGAAAAATCCTTATAGGATACTGCATCCGCAAACTGATATCATTCAAACACGTAGTGTATCTTGGTATATTATATGATAGATTATAGCACAAAAATAAATGCCGAAACCACGGTTTTCAGACGGTGGATCCACTTACTGTATAATGTTTCCTTCTTATCTCCTGAAAGACCCACTCGGAGAGCGGCAGTCACAGTGGGCAGCAAGTCAGAGTAATAATAATAGGACGCCACGTATCAGGAAAACCTTTAAATTCTCAAAATCGGGCACACTCGTCTGTGCCAGAATTGCTGTCATTGGCCATAGCAGAAGCCACACGTCTATTGATGGCTTTATCATTAATTATTATTTTGTCTAAATGTCCTACCAACTGAAAATGGTTAATGTGTCCCGTGAGCTCATAAATGGCCTAATGCAGTTGCGAGAGCCGTAAAACACTTGCCAAAAAAGAAAATGACAGCCAAAATTTGGTGACTTTTAAAATTTGACAATCCTTGGAAATTGTAAAGTTACATTTTCTTTACTTTAAATCAATTTTTTTTAACCAGTAAAATCCACACAGGAAAGTGTTTTCAAATGGACATCAAGGGTGTTGACCCCCCAAAAAAGATAGATAGAAATTGCACAACGGG